ATAGCATAGAAAATTTTCATGAAATTATAATGTAGAATAAAATAAAGACATAAATTACTTTTAAAGAAAAATAAAAAGCTCATTTCATAGTTATTTCATATAGACCTAAAACATTATCAGTCAAAATTTTAAATAATACGTTTTAATGATAAGCATGTCAAGAAAATAAATTTTGGGTACGAAGTAGAAGCATTAAAGTAAAAGACAATGCCACAAGAAGGGCCAATTTAGAGATTTTATGAGTAAATTAATGTTAAATAATCTAGTACAAAAGAAAGTTCAAATATTATAACATCAGAAACACATAGGCTAGAAGTTTCTTATAAAAAATTTGTCATGCAAAATATCATATAAAAATTTCTTGTAAATTAGTATTAAGACGTATAAAATCTACTACGCAGTTATAAAATATAAATTACGCCGTAAGTTAATTAAAATCAAATTCATCGCAACATGCTGGAGAAATTGCGCAGTTAGAAAATGATAACAGGGATACGAGCAACCAATGGCGAAAGAACAAATCAGTGAATTTACCTGGTACCGGAAAAACAAAAAAACATCGAGAGAAGTCAACAAGCTGAGAGAGAGGCGGAAGGAGATTCTAGAGACTGGTGAGGGGTGCATGTTGTCCTGTGGCTCCCCAAACAACATCAAAAACACCAGGAAGCACTCTACACAGACCCAACAGCCATCTTCAACGCACGAGAATAGCAGAAAACGACAACAATAAAGTGAGGTTATAGAGACGACCGCAAATTGCCAGCCAGAACGAAACCAAGTAAGTCCAGTTGCATAAGAGTTTTCTCCATGCCATAAAGTGTTGCAAATTCGAACTATAAAAGCTATTTGTGAAATACAAAACCCGTTACAAACTATAAACAATGTCAGTGATTAAAATTTAAATTGACATTTTTGAACATTCTATAATTTAAGTATTAGTTTAATTTCAAATGTTCGTAGTATAAGTTGATTTGTTTTGAAAAACGTTTAAAATAATGATAATTGGTTAACCAAACATTTTCTCAATTATGATAGGTAGAATAAGGCATTTCTCAGACAATTATTCATGTAAAAGTATAAAAAAAAATATTCTAGTTTCTGTGTTCATAAAAATATTGTTCGAAATTGAAAGATAAATAAGTAATAAATGTCATCTTGTGTAAATATTTCCAATTTTGCTTTTATTCAATGTTTCTTACCCAAAATTAAATAGTAAAGGTTAATTAAAAGAGCATAGAACCGCCCCTATGAGGTAAGGACTCATGCTATTGATAAAATAAAGTGTTTTTTCTTGAGGGACAGTGTAGAAAATGAACATTCCTATCTACACTAATAAAATCCTGTCTACACTGTGAACATTATTTATACAAAGTAAAGCTGCCGGAGGCGATGTTAGCAATGATAAGGTAAGAAAGTCTAATTCGTCTATATTTGTCAGTGTTATTATAGAATTTTCTTATTCTGATAAGAATAGAGCATAGGTTCTGACCTATGTTCAAGGGAAAATTAGACATAAACACACTCAAATGACATTTTATATTATAAAAGGCGCCCAAACGGATAATTATAAACACACAAAATTTACACACCATCACAAAATACAACAACACACACCATTACTTACATTACATTACCAAAATACCAACAACAACAAACAATAAAAAATAAAATATATATATATAATAATACATATACAGCGTGGTAAAAAAGTTCTGCATAAAATTAATATTTTCATTAAACAATTTTTTTTCGAAAAACGGTGAGACCCGCCGATTTTTATTTGATCCAGGGCACCTCCTTATATGGAAAAAATTTTTTTTCGATAATCCACTTACGGCAGCGATGACATAATTTTTTTTTAATGACAACGCATATTTTTTTCGTTCGAAATTGATGACAGTGATAATTATTTAAACAACGGTGTGAACCTTGTGGATAACGTTCCCGGTATAACCTAGTCGCCGCGAGCGCATTTTCTCCTGCTGCACCATACACTAACACCATATCGACACGTTCGGAAATAGTAAATGCATTGTTTTCTCGGTTCATTATAAAACTAGTTTCTGCACAAACCGAAAAATTAAGCGAAGTAAGAAATAAGAATCTCGTTTTTAATGTAATCGGCACATTATTCTTATTTTTTTACTTCTTTATAAAAATTACACTGTCACTATCGTGGATTTACAAAATAAAAAGTTTTGTCTGGAACTTTCACTTTTTAACACTTTAATATTTAATAATTAACTGAATAAGGAATTCAATACAAATACAAAATCAGTTGACTGCACAAATTTTTTGACAATGTAACCTAACCTTCTTTTAGTATTACTAGTATTAAATTATACCGACTTAAATTATAAGATTGCATCTTGGGTCGCATAAAAACATTTCCAAAGTTTTTAATAAATAACACAGGGTCGGCCTTCATTTTCGTTGAATAAATGAACTTTAATTTACAAAAAAAAAACGCGAAAATAGAATTTTTTCGTATAAGACATTTCTATTACAAATATCATCAGGAAGCTGTAGTTTAATTTTTATAGATTATACACGCCACATCATATATTTAACTGAACGTATTATTTGTACCTGTACTTATAAGATTTAAGCACTCAGCAAAATACCGCTGTTATATGGTGACATTTAAAATAACGAGGCAATTATAACGATCGATTTGATCCAAAAGGCACAATGAAAGCTCGTTTGGTTGCCTTTTGAACTCACTTGGGTCACATATGGTCATATTGAATTTTCACGAATTTTTATGTCCGAAAAATGTATGCCTCCACGTGAGTCACGTGTAAGCGAAAATGTCGCATGTGAAAATCCCTCCTCTTTATAGGCGACGAACTTGTAGGATATGAGGAACAGGAGCTTTTGTAGTTATTGCTATTGTACTGGGTACTTGAAAAGTGTGTTAGAAATATTAATTAATTGATAACAGTAGTGAAATATTTGTTCGTTAAACAACATTGGTACTTATTTGACTGCAAAATATTTGTAGTGTACTCAGGAAAAGGAGCACAATTAGGAATGTGCTAAAATCAGAGAGTTGTGTAGAATATTTTCTTACATCCATACATTATAATTCTTTTAAAATACTAACAATTCAAGATGTACGCTTGTGAAAGGTAAATATTACTTTTATACTTTTCTTCATTGCACGAAAATGTAATCACGTTTAGGATAAACTTAAACAATTATAATCTGTTACGCAATTTCATCCGGGTATCACCGCTTGTTCTTGCAAGGAACTCTTTCCTCCGAGATTTGCAGCGTAAGAAGCGAAGCATCAAGAAAAACTAACAAATGTTAAAATTCGGCCAATTTATTGATTTCTTATAATTTAAATGTTTCCTAAATGAATAAATACATATTTTACAGGTATGTAATATTTAAAACAGTAATGATTAAATAATAAATGATAAAATATTAGAGTGTCCCGAATTGATATATTTTACTTTCTGTGAGATTTATATATTTAATATATTTAAAAAATGGTTGGGTCTTACGTAACGTTGTTTTAACACAAAACATTTTAATAAAAATTATTTTTATCTAGTTCATGTATAGTAAGTACTGGATATAACAGTTGAAAAAAATCTTATTTTACCAATAATTTTTTTATACAGAGCATTCCGGAAGTGGGTGAAAAAAAATGTTAAAATTCCTAACTTTTATCAAAAACAGCTGCAATTGGAATAATTAATATTGGTACGCGTTGAAAACTAATGAAATGCGCTATATAAGTATGTACAATTCCTTTTTTCTTACACTAAAAAAAAATCACTCAAATTTCTTTCAATTTTACTTAATAATGTATCTGTCTTCTGTCCTTACTCCATTGAGTGAAATTTTCACTCTATTAGTATGAGTACAACTGAGTGAAACTATCGCATCGGAAATGAGTGAGTTTTACTCAAATCCGAGTTATTGCTAACTATCAATTAAGTGACTTTTTACTCTATTCTGAGTATATAAAACCAATTTGTCCTTTTCTCTAATATGATTTAAATTTTACTATTATTGAGTCATTTTTTACTCAGACTTTTTAATTAACTAAATATTGAGTGCAAAAATAAATCGCTCATAAATGATTAATTATGATATATAGTGTAGAAATTAATTAGACGCTATACAGCGTTTCTGCTGAATGATGAACTTTCAAGTTAGGAGAGATATTGTAAAAATAATGTCTCAAATCTACATTTTTTTTGTATATATTAACCCTTGAAGTTAAGAGATGAAATTCAGTATTTTGTAATAACTTCTTTGTAATTTATTAAATTTGTATAATTTTTTCGGCCCCTGTTAGTCGTAGGACAGACTTAAAAAAAAATTCGTGAAAAAATTTCAACTTTTGTATGGTAGTATCGACATTTTGATAAGAATTGAAATCAAAAAGTTAATCAAAGTTTTATGGCCCCGAAAAAAATAGCGATTTTTCGATCGTTTTTTGCGATATTTGAAATCGATTTGAGGTTCGCGCAATATTTGCAAGTAACAGTGTAATTATTTGAGAAAATTTTAAGCTCAACCACATTTCTAAAGATGTGGCGGCCTGTGAATTATGGGAATTTTACAAAAACGCTTTTTTTTTGCAAAAACTATAAAATATTTTTCAATTTTGAAAGAAACCATTTTTTCTGCTCACCAAGAGCTATTCTTTCACCAAAATTCATAAAAAATATGTATATTTGAAAGAGACAGGTATTTGAAAAAAATGCGATTTTTAGCGGTTTTTTGCAATAACTAATTAATTTATTTATCGATCAAAACCAGTTTGGGCTTATTCGATCCATATTAAAAATTCCTACAACTTTCACTAATTAAAAAAAAAATCAAAGATGGCATTATTCAAGCTAATTACGTTACTTTAATATTTAATTGCTAATTACGTGCAAGAATGAACCGCCAGAACTTAGATGTTATAAAGAAGTTATTTAAAATATTCTCTCCTATTTTAAGTTAAAAATTTAACATACCTTCTCTCATTTCAGTGGCGTGAAAACGGACATATTAAATGAGAAAAAGCAAGCCGCCATTCACCTGGTGACGGAGCTTAACAAGGTGGCTGTGCTGGAGGTGATGGGTCGCCATAAGGACAAAATTGACATTCAACAAGGAGGTGAGCATGGCAGGACAGCTCTGCATATTGCCGCGATTTACGACCACGAGGAATGTGCAAGGACACTGGTAAGTAAAAAAGCATTCTAAATATTTTACCTTATTAAGATTCGTTATTTAATCTGCTTGTTTTTTATATGCATAAATTTCATGCATCTTATTATTGTTATTATTGGGTTTCAGTCGAAATAAATGCATTTATAACAATGATAGGATAATTTGCATGTATTTTTGTATTTGTAGTGTCAAATTGAAAAAAATTTACATACCCTTACCCATTCATTGAACTTATCGATATTTAAATATCGTATGCAACATGACGTAAGTACATAACAGAATCACATTGAGATTGAAGAAAGTTACTTACAACATTTTTTTTAGTTTAGTTAACATGTACGTATATAATTGTAGTCTACCAGCTCGGACACCAATCTACAACTTTTTTAGTTAATTTTTCTTAACAAATTATACAGAGTGTTTTTGAATGGAGTAGCATAAATGATACCAGTACCCCTTAGTAAAATGTTCACCCCTGAAGAGATATGGGCCATCCACGTTTCCAAAAAAAATATGAAAATCGGCTGTAATTTGAAAACCGAACTAGGTACAAATAACAAATTTTTTACAGGTTGTTTACTAATACAGATGCCAGTTTTCAATTATTTTTCGAAAATTTTAACCCTTCGAAAGGGGTTGAAATAACCACCCCTCAATCCATTTTTTGCCATAACTTTTATATTTCGTAAAAACTCGATATCCAAAAATACGCATTAGATAAACTGGTTCTTTTAGAAACTTTTACCTCTCTAGCAATTTTCCTTTAAAACTTTTCGTTTATTCATAAAAAAATAAAATGTATTACCATTCACCTCACACCGTATATGATTGCAATCAATCAAAGAAAAACTATGTGTGCTGCTGTCATGCCAGTTGTCACAATTAACTCTGCTATAAGTTGTCACTGTTATCAGCTAAATACTTTTTGGGTGTAAATTAACAAGAATTATGCCAAATTTTACTCATGATGAATATGTGGACATGCTACAGTGTATTTTGAATGTCGCAAAAACTGTGCTGCGGCAACAAGAGCGTATAATGAGAGATATCCAAATCGTCAAGTTCCCCACAGACAAACTTTTTCTGCGGTAGAACGAAGACTTCGGGAAACTGGAAAAATGTGTTTTGTTTTAATGATGACAAAATAATTAACTGAACATGGACAGCTATATTTTCTTTAATTAATTCTCAATAAATTCGTAAAGTACTTACAAAGATCTATCCATTTGTTTTTTTGCTTTTAAAAATCAGAAGTGAAATACCAAAACTGCCTGATTTTCTCATTTTACCTGTGGGAACGCTCGCTGTGTACAGGATTGAATACTATATCACGACTGACAAACCCTCTTCATACTAGTCGACTTTTGAATTTAAGGCTATTTCAAAGTTTTTTAATTCTTGATTCGTTTTCCGCACCAGATTCGCATGTTTGCAAGTGGGGTTACCATATTTTATGCAAGTTCGTAAAAAGGCATATTCCTTATTTAATCCAGATCATAAAATTCATTTTCTTCTGATGTCGATGTTTCCTTAAATACCACATAAAAGGAAACTATTACAGACAATTATATATCTAATTGTATCTAAATTAAAACAATTTTTTGTATGTGCTCAAAACATCAGTCGGTTCATGTACGTTCAACTAAATTTAATGTTCTGTTCTCTTTCAATTTATGAACAAATTTGTAGGTATAGTTAAAGAAGTCTACATATCGCGTTTCGCTTCATTTTCTTTGTTATATTTGTCTAGTCTAACTTGTTCCTTTGAATACAGATATTCATTCAATCCCATCACCCGTATAGTCGTATTGCACATTAAAAAGCAGACATAGCCAGTGTATATACGTGTGATTTAAAAGCAGCACAGGAAATATTGTTAACATATTTTCAAACATATCTGCTGATTCCAGTTGGAGAAATTTATATACAACGTATTAGTTATTATTGGTGGTAAATGTTTAAATAACTAGATGGATTTCACAAGGTCTAATGACACTTACAGTGTACGATAATTTAATAAACAAAGAAATCTAAATAAAAAAATTAAATAAAGGAAGGAATACATTGAAGATGAATTTTTCGAGACAAAACGTCTGAATCTAGTTCGGGCTGAGGCAGTACAGTGTTGAGGGTCATGAAGGCTTGCAAAAAATGTAATAAAATTTCCAGGGTCGTATTTAAAAAAATGAAGCTGATGATGGTTACGGAGAGACGAAACGTTATATATAAAAACAAATTATGCCATTCGATAGAGGGCAAAAAGTGGCCATGAGAAATTGTTCTTCCTTTTTCAATATCACCTCAAACAAGGCTGAAATGAAACAAAATAAGATTTTCAAAATTTCGGTTTTTTCAAATATTTCGAAAACTAGTCATTTAGCCTTGATTTTTTAGAGGCATAATGTTGGTCCCCTGATTACGCAACTTTGCCCCCATTTAAGCAACTTCGTACCTCTTACCGTTTCCGAGAACCCTGCAGTGAGAAGCGAATTTGTAACAGCCTGTATATTTGCACAATCGAATAGGATGCTGTTTTATAATCATAAAAGTGACATAACTTTTGATAAAAATATCTCTAACAGTGAGCGAGACAAAGTGAGTATTTCAAAAGAGTAGGTTGCCTATAAACTAATAATCCTTGTCTAGCAGATTAGGCTTAAACTTAAAGTATATTTTTTGGCCAAATCTCTTTTACTATTTGAGATAAATATTTTAAATCTATGCTGTAATCGTAGAAGAGCGTTCTACCCGAATATGAAAAATATACAGGATGTTCTACTGAAAAAACTTGTTAGTCATACTTATAGCTCTACAACTCGCAACTTAGAGAATTTAAAAAGTTTTCTAGCACTATTTACATCGCATTTTCTTTTTATTTCGAAGAATGACGAAGAAAATAGGTGGCGACACTTATGGCACAACCTGTTTATTTTTTTTAAACAAAATATGAATAGAATTTAACAGATTTTTCAAAATAAATGATGTATTTTATATTAATTATAAAAACTGAAACAATTACATTTTTTCAGAAAGTACAATTTTATGTAGATGCAGATAAAAAGGATTAAAATTAATACTAAACTAAATTCCGTTATAAATTTAATATTCACATCATCCTCATTCTTCAATTATTAATAAGTAAGGTTTGATTACACAAATTTGCCACAGAAAGGCAGACTAATTTTAACACTCAGCAAGGAGAATATTAATAATTTACTTTATCAAAAGTAAGCACGCATGATTAAATTCCTTGTTTCCTGTTTCATGTAATTCATATATTAATTATTGGAAATAGGAATTCATTTACCCAGCTTATTATTGCATGAATTTTATTAGTTTTTGAACATTTTTAGCATGGTTTTGATTGCTGTAGCTTTAAGAAGGATTCTTATTGTTTTGATTATACCTATTACATACTACATTCATAACCTTCTATTGGTGTAAATTTTCTCTAGATGAGAGAGCAAGTATAAAGGTTATAATAATCTAATACTACTACAATAAATAATATGCATGTTTGGTATATTTGTTAGCGTTCTCCCAGTGATATAAAATTTAAGCCGTAATTGGTTATAATGAGTATATTTTAGATGATCTAAAATATGTCCTGCATACGTGATTTAGATTAATGTGTGTTTCTTTGTATGTAATATTTCTTCAATATTAATTTCAGTATTTATTGTTTACTAAAACCCATGCCAAAATAGAGTAGGTCTAGAAGTCAAGTATTTTTCATTTAACTGTATCTAGAGTCTTTGTATTATCTACCTTTTTACATTTTAATTATAGATATTATCATAAAACGAAAGTAAATACAATCTAATTAAAAAATCTTCAAATTTTATGTACCGTCACAACTAAATTTGCGCCAATTGCCGAGATATAAAATTATTACAGCTACATTTACAGGTTTTTACTTGAATTGTATTTTAACGATACTTTTTCTGAGATAACCACTGCACACGAATGTTTCCGAACTGAACAAGTAGCCACATTAACTTTTTACAATCTAATTTCCCGTAAGGAACATATTTTTCAAGTTGAAAAACTTTAAAATGCTGCAGTCGCCGCTTTCATTCAATGACATATTTTCTTTCTCGGCATTTCGCTTACTTTTCTCTACCCATAGATTGGTTGATTTATATATTTAGGTCTCTCATTGAGAGTACTACTTTGTTTGTTGTTTCGTTGTGAAAACAAAGAAAAATTGCTACAACAGATAAGATCTTACACTTTAGAACAGCCTTTCCAAGTGGCGTCTTTGTAAATAAAATTATTGTCTTGCATCTCACATACACTTTGACAATTTTTGTTCCAGATAACGCACTTTGGAGCATGCCCACGACGACCCTGTAACAACGGCTATTATCCTATTCATGAGGCGGCTAAGAATGCCTCATCTAAGACATTAGAAGTATTCTTACAGTGGGGCGAATCCAGAGGTTGTCGAAGAGAAGAAATGATCTCATTCTACGACGCTGAAGGAAACGTCCCTCTGCATTCAGCTGTGCACGGTGGCGACATTAAAGCTGTGGAATTATGTATTAGGTACTGAAAATCAGTTTTAAGCGGAATTTTTTCGTTATGTTCTGGTTCTTTACCGCAAATATTGGATTTCAGATCAGGGGCAAAAATATCGATCCAACAACAAGATCTCTCGACCCCAGTACATCTCGCTTGTGCGCAAGGAGCAATGGAGATAGTGAAGCTGATGTTCGAGATGCAACCAGAGGAAAAAGGACCTTGCCTCCAGTCGTGCGACGTCCAAAAGATGACTCCCCTTCATTGCGCCGCTATGTTTGACCACCCGGAAATTGTGGAGTACCTGATCAGAGAAGGGGCTGACATAAATGTAGTTGATAAGGAGAAGAGGTCTCCTTTACTGTTGGCAGCCTTGAGGGGAGGCTGGAGGACTGTGCATGCTTTGATCAGGCTTGGAGCGGACATCAACATTAAGGACGTTAACAGGAGGAACGTTTTACATTTAGTTGTGATGAACGGAGGCAGGTTGGAACAATTCGCAGCTGAAGTAAGTGAGGTAATAGGATTTTTTGAGGCCGCTTCTTTATTTTTGCAGTATTTAAATGGGTATCATAAAAGACTGAACCAAACTTTATATAAAAACACAATTTCTACATACGAAAGTATTACTGAAATTTTGATTTATAAAAAAAATTAGATTTAATTTAAAATTTGTTAATAAAAAAAGTCCAAATAATTACCAGCGTCGTTAATAAAGTGTTAAATAATATGTACAATTTGTGCTGAAAATTTGTTGCCGAATTGGAAATAAATAAATTCAGCAAAATTTGGTAATGAATTAAAATTAGTTTTGCTTCAAAATGTTATAAAAGTAAATAAAAATGAACTTTTTTGGTAATGAGTATATTTCAATAGATTTGTTTAAGCTTTGTTCATTCTTCTACGAATAATCCTGAATCTTGTAATACCTTTACTCCACGTATCCAAAGGATTTGCAGCCTTGCTGTTTGGGTTTAATAGTTTAGAGGTAATTGAAAATAGTCTCAATATGTTCACGTAGAGAATTAGACAATTAAATTCACGATATATGTAATAGAATGGATGTAGATTGGTAATTTTACACAAAGGTAGGTATCGACACTATTATTATCCAGGAATAATGATTAAGGATACATATAGGAACTGCTCGTCAATTAATAATATAATTAGGATAAGAACAAGGAAACAATTTGCAGAAGAACACGTGTCCGTGTTAGTTTCAATGTATGGAATAATTGGTTAGTTAACTTAATATCAGGTTTATTAATTTATGTTTAGGTAGATATATAGTATTTCGAAAAAAAATGTCAAAAATTGAAGGACTGGTAAAAATAAGATATAAAAAATAAAAAATTAAAAATTAAAAATTAAAAATTAAAAATTAAAAATTAAAAATTAAAAATTAAAATCAAAAAATAAAAAATAAAAACTTAGTTTTTAAAGTGCAGGGTGTAAAAGATTATTTTTTAATTCTGTTCTGATTTTTCTGACTTGCGTTACCCTAAAGCAATTTAAATTCATTTCAAAAATGTTTATAAATTGACATTAAATTAATTACCTACATGTATTTTTATTAAGGTTTATAGATAGCATTATTTGGTAGCATACTCTAGTGCTAGAAAATTATCTAATCATATTCATCGAAACCATTTTTTTCAAATAAATATTTGTTTGAACATGAAGCAATTTGGTGTTTATATTAGTCTGACATAATTAGGGAAGAAGTAACTGCATTGCTCTAAAAAAAATAATTATATACCCTGTTCTGTAGAAGCATACATCATTAATATATTTACGTATATCTATGTTAGATATAGTTCCATAAATTCTAGAACAACCCTAATTAAACTCGCGTGTTGCTAAATTTATCTGATAAATGCCATTAATTTTATGGTGCTTTAGTTAAAAGTTTAGTTAACTACGACAAAGAATCTTGTTGCAACGTCAAATAATGCTCTCGACAAAAACTATTCCATGTTCGAAGTTGAGAAAACAACAACATGCAGGTCATCTATATAATACATTTTTTTAATAAACAAAGAAAATAGATGTAATATCTAGTTATGCCTCAAAAAACTTTTTTATTGAATAAATAGAAAATTTTAACGTTATAGCAAGAGAACTCCTTCATTTCATTAAAAAATGTCCATAAACAAAATAGTTAGATATTTGTACAATTATTATTCAACTGGGACATTATATTATAAAATTCGAACACTGGGAATTTTAATAGACTACTTTTTTCGAGTACTGAAAAAGGTATTGAAATTGGCCTACTTTATATCTACTTACATTAAAACTACTTACCACCTGGATTTATAAAATCAGCAGTATTATTTCTGCTTTGTTAAATATTGACTACTGACTGACTGAGAAAGTTGTGAAGTTAGATAACACACTACTTAAACATCTAAAGTTGATAACACACGTTTTATGTCAATAGGCGAAGTCAAAGGAAAGTTTGCTTCAGTTGCTCAACGAGAAGGACATCACAGGATGCTCCCCATTGCATTATGCAAGTCGGGAGGGTCATATCAGAAGCCTAGAAAATCTTATTCGCCTAGGAGCTTGCATAAATCTGAAGAACAACAACAATGAAAGTCCGTTACATTTTGCAGCAAGGTAAGCAGTAGAATAGGTACACCTATTGCAGTGCCGTATAAATAGGATAAACAGTGAAGCTAATCTTAAGTCAAAAAGGATAATACATTTCCACAAAATAAAAAATGTACAGTGTAACTTCTATTTTCATCAAACAAAATTATGAAGGTGAAGAATTGCGGAAAATCCTATAGTACTAAGTGCATATAGCTCTGTTAATTTACTAAATGTGCAAATGAATAAATTTTGGTGGAATAGTTACATGTTTCTTTACTAAGTTGAAATATTAAAACTGAGTTATTTATATTTTCTGTTATAATCAAATTAATTGATAAATATATCATAACCAAATTTTTTTTTTTTAAATTGAATTAAGTTAAGTACTTATAAGTAGGCTTAGCGCGGCGCGGAGTTTAACAGGACCGTGGTCAGAGCAAGGCTAAGTAGAGGATAAAATACTTATATAAATTTAAATGACACCACTTACCTGATATACCTTAGTATTGAGACAAGGCTTCCATGGCATATTGGAAGGAGTCAAAACATATTACTGCATGCTTTTCTAAGTTTTATTTAGTGAAACGGCGACTTTTATCACTTAATATTAACTTGTGTAGGGAAAATGATTGGGTAGGGACAGTATGATAAATTGTTGAGGGATGAACTATATATTAATATATTTGCTGGTAACTCCTGATATGTACCAGATAAAACTTTACATATGTTTCCCAAAATGGTGTATTCTGGATTTTTTCCAACACTTTGCATTTTTTCTTTTATCATACTACTGACTTGGCGTATATTATTGGCATCGTATATATTTTTTTGTACATCGTCATTATATCAAATTATTCATTTAGGGATAATCCATGCGATTCCAATTTACGAAATTACGGAACTTGGGGTTCTCTAGTTTGTTTAATGGAATATTGCTTGAAAGAATGGCGTCTGTAGGTTCACAGAAAAATACAGCCTTCAGTGCTGGCATGTTTCTTCAAATGTCTTGTTACTTTAGTTTTGTAACAAGAATTTATAATGCGTTCACACACAGTACAAAACAGGTCGTTTTCTTTAATACGTCCCTGTAACCTTCGGAATCACTGTCAAACCACATTTGAAATAATTCCCGTCTATTTATTTTCTCTTTTGGCATTTTATTTCACTTTTCCCCCCAATTAATAGTTGTTAATGTAAATTATGTTAGTATTTATAAATAGTTATTTAAATACACACGGCGAATACAATTTACAGAATACATAAAAAGGAAAGGTATCGACGCGACACCAACTATTACAAAGTTCCGTAAATAACTGGACAGTTCAAAACGCGAGTCAGCTGTGAAAGCCACCCACCCCCGTGCCGGCTCTGTTAGACTCTGCACGTGCACTAAGCCTACTTATAAGTAAATTTTTGGAGAACAACTAATTTAGATGCAAAAGTGCTTTTATATTTCATTACATTTTTAGTTACATATTGGAATATATCACCAATAGACTGATATATCTAGTCTAATCTATTTTTTAAATTAATAATATTTCAAAAGTATATTTCTCTTTCAATAGCTAAAAAAAATTGTAAAAACTAATTTCTTTCCTAGGATTTCTATGAATATTTTCATTATACACTTTCATTAAAAGTAAATGAATTTTTATTAAAACGAATTTTAATTGCAATTGGAGATCTAAGTGAAAGAGATCTTACGAAAAGATTGACTTGGAGATTCAGAAAATTCCATTCAAATTAATCTTGTTTGTTTGTGACATCCGAGAATATATATTTGGAATAAACAACTGTGAAATCAGTGTATTCTGCTTCATCAGAGTTATTTACTTTGTGTCTTTTCAGCCCAAGGAGCAGCTGTTATTGAAAGTGCGGCATACTCTATATTTTTGTTAATATCTCTTTTCATAATCTTTTTAACGTACAGATATATTTTTAAATTGTGCCTACACAGATTATTTAAATCTACTGCATATTCTAATGGAAGTCTAAGAAAATGTAGAAAATTTTGTTACTCTGTTAAATTGAGTTTCAAATTTATCTTGACCAAAAATTATTCTATTATTAGTTTGTAAGAATGTATATCACAAAATTAATTGATTAATATTTATTTTATTGAAACTTATGTAGTAATGTAATAATTAAATTCGTTTCCTTGTCTAAATTTCATTGCAATTAACAATTAACAAATAATGTTTATTTTTATGTCTTAAATTGTTTATATTTTGAGTAAACAGGTAAATAGTAAACAGTATATTATATTTTAGAAATAAGTAAATGATAAAAACAGAATGCATTGCCGGTGGCAAATTATATTAATCCTGAAGCTGAGAAAAGTTTTAAAAATATAACAAAGCTTTTACATAAAACTGACATCATTACAATTCACGAAATCGCTTTTAAAAATTGCAGCTAGCAGCTGACCCTACAAGGGTGGAGCAACGAAAATCTGGACTTAGACTATCAATACCTCTCTCAAATAATGAGAAAAAGAAAATTGTGGTTACGAATTAATGAACTTTCAAATGTACATAACGACTGAAGCAATTACGGCACGTGATAATCAATTTTTTATGATTTCATTGCATAGTCATATCCATCTGACAGGTTATTAATGACGACTGGCGGAAACCTCAAAGCATGCACCAATTAATTAACAACGTAGTTGCTACTAATTTTCTGTTTTAATTAGGTATGGCCGCTACAATACAGTGCGCCAACTGTTGGATTCAGAGAAAGGAACGTTTATAATAAACGAAAGTGACGGAGAGGGTATGACACCCTTACACATATCTTCGCAACAGGGACACACGAGGGTCGTACAATTGCTGCTTAATAGGGGAGCCCTGCTTCACAGGGACCACAACGGAAGGAATCCGTTACATCTGGCTGCCATGAACGGTTACACTCAGACGATTGAACTTTTGCTTTCCGTTCATTCCCATTTGCTCGATCAGACTGATAAAGACGGTGTAAGTTACTTTTTTCAAACTTTTTTTGGCATTGTAGTATTCGATGATATAGTTAACTAAATGCTCAATAGTAGATACAGGTCATCAGTCTGTACAGGGTTATTTACATAATATTCTACTGCTATATCTTTTTTACATTTCTGTCTAGGAAGAAAATGGTAACAACAAATGTTGTAGGAAATTTTATTGCGATATCAGAAAAATATATAGGAATACAATCTAGAGTGATGATAGATTACAGTGATATGACATGTCATATATTCGCTTTGACAATTTCCACAATGTTTTGATGACTGACCCAAGTTTGCAGTCGGTCCAATACAATTTAAGCTTCTCCACAATTAAACTTCTGAACAGATCTTTAAATACTTTGTTAAGAAGGAAACTTTATGCTGTGAAATGTGTTTTACCATCACTCAGGTGATGCTAAAAAAATACTTGCATATAATACCTAGACATATGTCCTTTGTTTAAGTGAAGCTGAAAGTATCATAAAACACCTTATAATAGTAATATATCTTTTGTTAATCCAGAATTTAAAGATTTCTTAGTAAATTTAAAAGAGTATCCTTGGCAATCTTTCGTTTGTTTCTTCAATATGCAACAGTAATTTGTTTTTATATAGGTACTGCTTTAAAATCGTAAGAAAATTTTTATTTCTTTCGTCCTTACCATTTTTTTTAGATAGAAAGGTAAAAAGGACACTGCAACTACAAAAAAAATATCCTCAAAATTTTGAATCCTGGAGTAGTCTCAACGTTCCTTATATACTAAATAATTAGTCATTACTTTTTTGTCTTTGTACTTTGTCATTTCAAAATAATCGAAAAAATTATTAGTATTAGAAAAAACGTGTCTAATATTTTAAAATAATGTTTTTCATTCACATTTTTGTATACAGAGTGATTCGTAAATGTATCAAAGAGCCAGGTGAATATAAAAAATTCAAAAATTTAGTATATTTACGCAACATACCAGTAGATGACGTTAAAGAGAAATAATTTCCAAATGATTTTCGAAGCAATTTTTTTCAATTTAAATAAAATTGGATATACCAATAGTTCTGTAAGAAATTTTATTAATAACACTGGAAAAAATATCGTTAATATAAAGGCAGGATCATTTTTACTTTCCTTTCTCGTAAATTATTTTATACTTATCATCGAAAATTTTACTTATTTGAAAAAAAACGAACACAAGTTGAGAAATTTGTAATTTCATGGAAATGGTCACTATTTTCAGTAAACTAATTCAGTAAAAAAGAGTCATTTTTATTACTTATTGTTTTAATCATGCTAATTATGTATCGGAATTACTGATTGAATTCATCTAATTTATATTCTTCAGGCAAGGAATCACAATTTACAGAATGGAAGAATTCTGAAATGGGAGCAATTATTATTATTAACTGAATTACCAGCTATTAAAAATGGTGATTATTTCCAATAATTCTCTCTCCTGAAAGAATGTTTGAATAAATGTTTTAATCTTCCACCAAACATTACTTTATTTTAATTATCAAACAAATTATATTTTATATGGCGATTAAATGAGATCTACCAAATACTTATTACTTTATTTTAATTGCTAAATATAAATATAAAATCAAAATGAACATTTTTATGGCAATTAAATCAGATTTGTATAAAAATGTGTCGAGTAACAAAATAATTAATTTCGGGACAAATTGCAAGAGAAATACACAGGTAATAGCATACTAAACTTCATTTAAATCGGGCAAAGCATTTTAGACTTATTTGGAAACAATATGTCACATAAAAAACAAATAAATATTATATTGAATAATGTATTAAATAACAAGTTGTAATAAAATAAAAATATTTACTATGCAATAATGGTTATAACATTTTAAATGTATTCTTGCATTAAAAACATATAACATAAACTTGTAGCTCTGGTCATAAATATAGAAAACATATACTAGTTTCAATAGGAATCAATATGGGTGATTGTCAACTTTCGATCATTTTCTTCATACACATGTCTGTTGCAATTGACACTGCCAACGCTAGTAGTTATTTTATCTAAAACATAAAATAAATATGAAGATATATATATATATATCTTACGAAAAGATTGACTTGGAGATTCAGAAAATTCCATTCAAATTAATCTTGTTTGTTTGTGACATCCGAGAATATATATTTGGAATAAACAACTGTGAAATCACAGTGTATNATAAGTAAATCGATAAAACTAGCGAAGTTATATATTTCTGTAGTTAATATAGTAATCACAAGACCTTAAACGATACTCTCGAGAAATACATATTAACTATTTTAATTTCATTTTAATTTTAAAGAATTCAGAATACTTATGTTAAGTTAATTATTTTTATAATATACTAAGAAAAGATAACCTTACCTTAAAAAATATCTTGGCATTTATTCCTTACATATATTTGACCATTTGGACAATTGCTTTTAAATCTAAAAATATATTTCGCTGGAGAATCGGTGCGTTCTATTACCATTTTTGCATAACTGTGGGTAAATAGACACATTAAAGCGAAAACAAATAACAAATAGCAGAACAAACACTTCACGATATTCATAATTAAAAATCGATTGACCGTGCTGTACAAGTATATTATTTGCCGTATAAAAGTTATCTGATAAAAGAGGTTAAAATAAGTTATCATTATTGTTTTTATAATCAATATCTATTCCTGCTTCTGATGTCAATTAATTTTTAATCACTATTCTAAACGAAAGTACCAAATTTTTTATAAGACAAAAGCTAAAACAATAGCAAAATTGGTCTCTACATCATCTCTGGTGATAATAATAATAATAATAATAATAATAATAATAATAATAATAATAATAAAAGTAATACAAACAATATACTCAAAACATCTAAAACGTTATCTTTAATTACGATATGTATACGAAGTTTTGATAGAGACACACAAAGGAAATTCTAAACCTAAAGTGTTATTTGAAACTAAAATCTTTTGGAAAAATTATAGTGGCATCTTTTTTGTTTACAAAGCATCTATTCATTGTCAGTAACTTCGAAAATATAAGTGACAACAGTTTTTCAACGGTTGCCTTTTTATGCTTTCAGACCATATCTTTCCTTTTTTACTATGGCGTTGTATTATAATAGAGAACAGGAATATTTCAAAAACAGAACAGACGTTTGAAATATATCTATATTGTAATTGCAAAACGCCGTCTATACTTTGTTTATTTACTATTGTAGAATACTGCGCTTCATTTAGCAACTGTGGAAAACCAACCGAATGCCATAGCTTTGCTTCTATCGATGGGATGTAAACTTCTATACAACCTGTCTGAAATGAGCGCTATTGATTATGCCATCTATTATAAATTCCCAGAGGCTGCGTTGGCAATGGTAACACACGAGGAGAGGTTTGTATTGAAAGAGATATTATTTTATTATTCTATATTTTGGTCTAAATAGTTTACTACATTTGCGAAGTTGGTTGCCTATTCATTCTCCATAACCAAATGCCTTACTTACCTTTTCTTAACAGGGACATTAGGAATTTATTACAATTAAAAAGATATTAATTTTTCTGTTTTTAAATACTGTTATGTCATATACTAACATCGAATGTTATTAATAGGAGCTAGGTCATGATAAAAGAAGTTAATTGGTAATTATTTGTTTTAACAATCGTCTAGAATTGGCAGAAAAAGAACATAGGCTTAGCATAGCATAGTTTAGGAGAATGACACTGCTTGTAGCTAACTTTTACTATTAAGTCCATACATAGTATGTAATATAGTGACATGAAAATCTAGCAATATTTTTTCATTTTTCAAATAATTACCACTTTTCCAGAGCTTTTGCATTCTAAACTTATTTACATTATTCATTTTATTGCTTCTTTCTACAAATTTGACACAACATTTGAAGTTACGTCCACAATATGTATCCAGATATTTAAACTATTTTTCATATATGAGGAAATGAGGAAATTACATCTTTTGCGATCAACTTAAATTGTCTGTTATAGCTACTATATAGCTACTATTTGTGTCAAACTAAAAGTCTCCAATTCATAATGACGTCATACACCGGTAGAATTCCAGTCACAATAAATAATACCTTCTCGTTTTCCACACTTAACATTTTTAAACATTTACTCTTGAAACTATATGAAAAAAAATTGCTTCGGTGAATCTTTAAAAACATAAGTTTCAAAATTTTCTAATTTCCAATCATCTGCGATTTTCTGTTATGAACTATAACTTTACAAATTGACACATTATCATCTACATTTCACCTATATTTTCTGTCTGTATTTAGGGCCCAAGAAGTTATGATGTTGAAATCCAGCAAACATCCTTGTGTTACTCTGGCTCTGATAGCATTCATGCCACGAGTGTTTGAGGCTGTTCAGGACAAGTGCATATCCAAAGCGAACTGCAAAAAGGATTCCAAGTCGTTTTATGTAAGATTGAATTCCTCACGTCTACAGCAATAAATTGTTACGGTTTCTTTCCAGATCAAATACAGCTTTAGCTGCCTCCAGTGTCCATCTCTATACTCCGAATTGGAAAACAACAAGAACCTTAAGATAAATCCGCTTCCTGCTCTTAACGTACGTAACACAAACACTTGTGTCTTGTAGAAAACAAAAAAACCCTATTCTGAAAAAAGTTACAATATTAGGAAATCGTGAAAAAAGTCAGATTTGGTTTATACTAAACGATTTCCAAAGTTTATTTCTGGAACTGACAAGTATATGAAACCTGAATGTTTCTAATAAGAAAAACAATGATGTCTAAAATTCTGCACGTACCTATTCCATAATAAAGGATTAATTATACCACTAGAACATTCATGTTTTCATAAATTGCATGGAAAATTGTTTTTATATTAATTTACTAACATCTAAGTAGTTTGCAATAGTGCTAATGATGAAGAAACATTTCAGGCTATGGTTACTCATGGTAGAGTAGAATTGCTAGCTCACCCGCTGAGCCAAAAGTATTTACAGATGAAATGGAACTCCTACGGCAAATACTTTCATTTGACAAACGTACTTTTTTACAGCATATTTCTGGCATTTATCACTTGTTTTGCATCTCAACTTATGCAACACGAGAAAGATGTTTTCGCTGCAAACATTACAAATATGACACATGAGGTAAGTCCAAATTATTACAAGCGTACGTTTTGGTTACATTATTCTTTACTATCATTGTATTCAAAAGCAGTATAACTATTATTTATCACAAGTTAAAACCATTTTCTATTTATTCAAATGAGTAAATTAAATTAATTTGACTACACGAAATGTGTCCAACTAATACATTTTTAACACCAAATAACTTCATGGTCATGACAAAAGTTGATACGAAAACACATATTTTATCATAAATTGAACGCTGAGGATTTATAATTTGATACGTATGCAGGTGTGTACTACCTTTTGGATTCATCAAAATAAATAAATGGATGTCAAAAAGTGTAGAAACAAACCCAGTTCCATCTTGTTCAAATGGAATATCACACATGTACTTGTATATACTTATAATAGAGGTCTTTGATAGAACTATCTCTAACAACGAAAATAAGAAAAGACCTAACAACTGATGATAGCATCTTCCTAGCATATATTTTGGTTTATCACCGTTATAATTCACTTAAAAAAACTTATTTCAATCAATCCTAAGAAAACACTCAAATATGTATACAAAAAGTAATTTCAAAAAAGTGAAGTTGATTTTGATTCTAAAGTATTTGACATTAATAGTTTATTTCAATGAAACCAATATCATGACAAAAACCCAAACCATTCTCCTCTCTCTAATTCATAGACTCTCAACATGGGTGTCAAAATACAAATTTATACATAAAATTTAATGGTAACGGGAAACTAGCAGCATTGTTTTAATAACAGGAAACTAAAGAATTGAAATTATAGGAGTAATAAAGATAAACCATACCTACTTAAAATCATCAGTTTATATACCATTGAATTTCAAACCAGTGAATAATGTTGTGTAAATCTTGAAGCAGTTCTTGTTTGAACCCAATTCTCTTTAGATACTGATATCGTTGCAATATGACGAAGCGACACTTTCTTTTGCAGAACAGTTTCTATTGAAACATTTATTTTTTTGCATTACTTCAACCGAAGCGTTGTCTCAGATAACTACAAAAGGCACTTCTTTGATAGGAGATTAGACACGAAACTGAACTCTTTGCTTTAGCAGTACCACTATCTTTAATTTTCAGGCTTATGTCCAACTGAGCAAAGAGAACATTTTACATGTGGAAATAAATTCCGTAATGTATATGAGCGCACTGGCCATAATAGTATATATCAGTATCAACACCTTGCGAGAATTCCTCCAAATATATCAACAGAAATACATGTATTTCATGGATCCTATAAACCTGGTCACGTGGCTGCTGCATTTTTCGGCTCTAGTAATGGTGGTGCCGATATTTGGAAACACCGTTTATGATCTGCAGTTTTCTTGTGCCTCACTGGCTGTGTTCTTGAGCTGGTTCAACCTGCTTTTGCTGCTGCAAAGATTCGACCAAGTGGGCATATACGTCGTCATGTTCCTGGAAATTCTTCAAACTTTGATAAAAGTACTGATGGTGTTCTCAATATTAATAATTGCCTTTGGTTTGGCCTTCTACATTTTACTATCAAGGGTAAGTAGTAATGCTTGTTGTTGTTTCTCCTGTTTACTTTCTTCTTTTTAGGGTGATCATCTTTCATTCAAAACCATTCCCATGTCGCTTATTAGAACGTTTTCGATGATGTTGGGTGAGATAGATTTCTTGGGTACCTACGTAAAACCTTACTATTTAAACAATGACGAGGAAAAATCATTTTTACCTTTCCCATTACCAGCTTTCTTTATCTTGGGATTGTTTATGGTCCTAATGCCGATTTTACTCATGAATCTGCTCATCGGTTTGGCTGTTGGTGACATTGAATCTGTAAGAAGGAATGCTCAGTTGAAGAGACTGGCTATGCAGGTAAGTGAACACTTTAGTGATAGTACTAACAAATTGTAATCCGTGATCTGTCACACAACCTTTACAAGTGATTATTGAATCTTTTTATGAAATTCTCAACATTGTATCTCGCAAATAATGCTTGTTGGATGTTACAGGTAGTGCTACACACAGAATTAGAAAGAAAATTACCCCACTATCTACTGGAGAGGGTTGATAAATTAGAAATAATAGAGTATCCGAACGATACAAAGTGCAAGCTGGGATTTCTTGATTCCATATTAAGGAAGTGGTTCGGGAATCCGTTTTCTGACGATGGTAACTTACTGTTGGAATATTATAACTGCATGTTTTAGATTTTCGAGTCTTATAGATACTGATATAATTAAATCATGCAATACTGCTATTTTTAAAAGCGTTGCACCGTAGTCGCTTTGAAGCATGTTTTTATTTCAGGGGTGGATCAAAAGCACAAAAGATTTTGCAAACCAAGATGGCGATTTCATGGTAGGCACCATTTAGTGACATTAATCACTTTGTGTAGTTATAATGCACTATTTGAATAACAGTTTTGTACAGAGAAGTAAAATAGAAAGTAGCATTAACCAACTGTTAATGTTACATTATTGTATTTCCTTCAAATAAGTCGTCGAATCCAAGAAAAGAGAAATTACATTTTTGATTTTTTTTTATTTATGTCGTTCTCCCTATGTTCGTATGTCCATTGGGGAGGATTTTTTTTACTAAATTGAATCAAAATTAATGATCAGCGTGTCTCATTAGATTATTTCCATTGAGCAAAAAGTAATTACTTTTTAATCAATGGTACTCTACTGTATTAATCGAGAAATATTGGTGTCACTCATGTAATAATTTCAAAACTTACCATCATACATATTTACGTCATTTAATTCAAAATTAAATTAACTAAATAGCAGTTGCTCAATTAAAAAAGATCAAGCTTTAATACTTGTAAAGATTAGTGGGTGATCTTTAAAAACTGTATTTTATGAATATATTTATTCAACCCAAACTACCTGCGATCTAAAACTGGTAGATAAACCTCTTCAATGTAAGATTTTAGTCAGTTCAATCAGTTCACTTTTGAAATAGAGTTTTACCATTAACTTCCGGTATAACCAGAAGTGCACTAAGGCCATCATTATTTTCTTGAAATAAAGAATCGAAAATCTCCGACCCCAAATTTTCACGACTTAAATCGCAGTAGTCCCAAAAATATTTACTATGAGACACGCTGTACATTAAGCAACACACGAAGGTAAAAATATAATAATTGATCGTTTATTAATCAGAACGAGCTTATCCAAATACGCAAAGCTTATATTAAAATATAAGCTTTGCCTTATCTACTTTCCTGAAAATCATTGATTGAATTTAATTAACAATTATTATAACTCAGTGTAACTTATAAACACAATGGTCCTGGTTCTTAAAGGACCGCACTGTATATATTTTTCTGCCGGTTATAATTTTAAGATCTGTTTCAAACATGTGTAAACAAAATGCACAATTTTTAAGGTAGGAATAAGTAGCCAAGCTATGTTGTTTCTGTTCCTTCTCTTCTACCGATCTTTGGTAATATAAAAAGTTCTAAAATCCTTTACGTAATTTCTAGCACTTATTCTCTAAATGTTGTGTCATAATAACAGAGCAATGTCGTTGCTTTCCTTTTTTTTGTTATAATTGTTTAATTTTAATTTTGTAAATAAAATGCATCCTAATTAAGTATGCACCTTATAGTGTCTAAAAAAACCACTAATTTATTTTTATTAGGATTAGATATGGTGATGGACAGTGGTGAAGACTACGTTGTGGCTGAGTTATCAAAAACAAAGAGGAAACTACGGGAAATAACGGCAGCTTTGGAAACACAGCACCAATTCTTGAGGTTAATCGTGCAGGTAAATGCTGAAATAATAACATTAATAATAATAACATTTTAATTTATGTGCGAAGTATTTTCTTTCAGTGTAGTTTTGAGAAAACCTATTTAAAAGTCTGTTAAATACCTTATATTATAAACGTTCCTATAATATTCATTCATTAATCTTAGTGTTAATTAACAGAGAAAAAGATAATAATTCTCAGTTTATATAAATAACACATCGAAATTCAAAAAAGTAGATAAGATTTTTTTAATTCTAAGCAAAAAGAATAAACCCTACACTGAAGGAAATCGACTAATAAGAAGGTGTTGCTAAGACACGACTTCTTTTACTAATACACAACTACTTTGCGGACTACATGTCCCGACCAGCATTGAACTACACCCACAATATTTAGTAAACAGCTAAGCGGAATTGTCAGCAGAATCACCAAACATAGACCGGTTTCGAGCTTATTAGTTCTCATCAGTATGTCATGGATGAGGCTACCAACGAATGATTTAGCTATTTGAATGTCTATCTACCGACATGTTTTGAGTGTGGAAGAGATACTGACTACTCAAAAATTATAGTATTAACACGATATTACTATCTTAAGTCAACGTTTTGCTAAATCAGTAGCAATTTCTTAGGTTTTCTTCTACTGAAGACAACGTTATGCAGTACGTAAATTAAGGACTACTTATTAACAGACAAAAATATTAATAATGACAAAGATCAAAGTTGTGCCAAATAAAAAATTTATTGTGGTAGATATATATTTTGTTATCACATATCTACTAATTGTGATCCATATATACAACAGCTCGAGACATTTTTGTTCAGCATTATAGCAGGAGGGAAGTGCTATTTTACTTTGCATTAAACAACATATGAGTAATATAATAATAACCACCAAGACCTTATCTTTTTTAAAAAAGGTTGGAATACAGATCGCTACCTGGAATAGTATGTGCAATAACTAGTGGTTCAATTATCAACTTTGTTTTTAAACTTTTACTTTACAGTGAGTAAATGAAACGGGTAGAAATGAAAAGAACGCAGCTTGCTAGTATCCATAAATTCATCTACTTATATGTAAGAAAAATCGCACATCTCAAGAAAAAATATAGCAGTATAAAAAATGTTAAAACAATGTTTATCTGATATTAGGTTGCTTCAGCTTTCTTGTTACGACTGTGGTAACCTTATGGAACCTATTTAAAGGATACATATTACTGTGGCTCGTTAAATTTTACTTATAGCTAACAGACATTTGTCTCAGTGTGGCATGATAGTCAGAATAAATCTAAATGCACCTATTTGTTAGATTAATGTGTTCTTTATTTTTCAGAAAATGGAAATAAAAACTGAGGCTGATGACGTAGATGAGGGCGTTCCCCCGAATAACATAAAACCCATGAATGGCTTTTCAAATAAATGGACTTCGCCCAAAATCAGAAAGAAGTTGAAGTCCGTTATAAGCTTTAATAATAAAGGAAACCCATAAAACAATTTAATTTAATGAAATGTATGTTTAATTTATATTCTGCAGTGGTAGCTTTGAGAAAGATATTTTTGAAGGAATTTAATGAATTACGATTATTTTAGAATATATAAATGTGAATTGTGATTGTTACTGGTTGCACCAAGTAGATAAGCAGTATTATAATTATTGCTCCTAGAAAATATAGTTAAATGTTGTATTTAATTACTGTGAAGTACCAAAGTTTTTTTTAAATAAATATTGTTCGACACCTAACTTTTTACTAGTGATTATACAGGGTAGTCCAAAAGTACGAGAATGGCAGGATATCTGGGAATATTCAAGGGGCAGGGTAAAAGTAAAGCACTAGCGGTTGAAGGATTTTGTCCTGGCTATCTGATGGTGACCTTGAATTGGACTTGGACCATGGCCTTCAAGGTCATATCAAGGTCACGTTTTTTTTTAATGGGACCCCAAAGTTTTATGTTCGGATATGACCTTGAAATAACTATGAAGGTTAAGATCAAGGTCATTGTCGTGATCGCCAAAGGTAACATATATTCTTGGTTAGTCAATAGTGGTCACCAATGGCAACATACGGCCACTGTCGGTTATTAGTGGTCACCAAAGGTAAAAGGCGGTGACTGAAGATCAACAATGGTCATCAAGGGTAATAGACGGTCTTGGGTGGTCAATAGTAGTCCTGGATGGTAACGGAATAACCAACTTGACCTTGAAATAACCGGAGGATAAGGAATTTGAGGTTAGGGCTGGGTCAAATCTAAGATCACCGGTTTAGTGCTCATCAAGAATCTTAGAACCATTCTGGAGAACACTTTTCCTGGCGGTTATTCTGCCATTCCGGTATTGTTGGGTCACTTTGGGGACTTTTTATATTTGACCTTGATCTTGACCTTCATAGTCCTATCTGAACGTAAAATTTTCCGCTCTCTCCCTTTCCAGGGTCAAAATTATGGGGTCACATTTAAAAAAATTCTCGTGACCTTGATGTTACTTTGAAGGTCATGGTCCAGGTCAAATTCAAGGTCACCATCGGATAGCCAGGGGAAAATCTTAAACCCCTAGTGCTTTACTTTTACCCTACCTCTTGAATATTCTCAGAAATCCTGCCATTCCGGTACTTTTGGTCTACCTTGTATATTAATACAGTAAGAGAGCAATGATGCACAAATTATTTTGTTTACATAATTTCTGTTTATTGAAACTCTGCCTAAATTATAAATTCTAATGTGTTTTTAATTGTACTAATCGTTTGTTAACTTTAGCTGCATTGCGTCTGCTATCGAATATGAAAATATTAGAGGTGTAGACAGTTTTTCTTCTAGAAAATTCAGTATTAGTCCATTTATGTGGCCCTAGTGAATCTGTTTATACGTTTTTAATGCTAAAATATGTATTACTTTAAATACATACTTTTCATAACTCAAAATACGTTCTATTTATTTCCATACCATTTTTTAAAACACCTTTAGTATAAAATTAGCAATGATATGAACTACTCATTCTTGTACATAATTTGGAGGGAAGTATATATTAATAATAAAAAGATATTAAATATAAGTTTTATTAAAAATCTTTATAAATGTACTAATATGAAAGTTGTTGATAAAATTACAAATAAAGGCACTTTCTCATATACAAAAATGGCACAGACTTAGTGCTTGTAACAGAATGTATGAATCATTTTCAAAAAAGATTTGTAACTACCTCTACATAAATAAAATTACGTACAAATGAGATTTCCTTTGAGATTAAAATCTACCATTTACAAATAAAATCTAAAACAATTTAACTTGTGCTTAAAACAATTTTTATAATGATAAATGATTCATTTTACAATAGGTAAGCTATATTAACTTTATCACAGATAGATAGTTTGGGCAAGAATATCTAGGATTGGCATCACTCTTCCCTTCCATAACTTACCCAAAATTGTTAAATAACTAAAATTACAATTATATACAAATAACAATTTTTATGGAAAATTATGTACAAACATGCCATGCATGCCATGGCACACCATTATTGTCATCATTTTGACAGTACAACTCGAGTCGACCTAAACCCTAATTAAGTAGCAGTATGATTTACACACAGCCCTGCCTCCACAAAAAAGTACAACAGGCCATTTGAAATGTTTTTGTACGTTCTGTTTCTGTCATCAGTCCCATGAGATTGAGATGTTAGACCATCGCTCCGTTTTTATTTTTCTTTAACGGTTGCAGCTCTCTTTGCAACCTATCGAAGTCATTGTAATATTCATGATCCGATTCTTCTTCTGAACTTCTTTGCGGCAAATAAGGCTGTGACGGTTTGAAACCAGAACTCTCAGGTCTATTAGTCGATGCATGGACAAATTCTGAGACAGTTGGAAGACCTATTGTTTGGCTTGGTGCATCGTTGTTCATGAGGTACTCTGGATTGTCAATATTATTTTTATAAAAATCGGAATAAGACCTAAATATGTTCCCGTTGCTCCCGGAATTCTTTGAGTCTATTAAGTCTACGTAAGTGGAATTTCCTTGAACTTGTTGCGGAGAAGGCATCAGATAATCATCCTCGTCGAGGGGAAGCTCCAGTTTCAGCGTTCCAACTTGGGCTTGAGATCTACCGGAGTCGTATTCATCTGATCCAATATCGTCCCTTAACTTAATGGAATCGCCGCAGTACCTCATACTGGAGCCGTCGGATTGGCTTGGGTCAAAACCATGAGATTGAGCGTATCTTAGGAGTTTCTGATTCAAGTGATTCTGATACTGAGATGTACTTCCGTCTGATACTGTAGCTGGTGCTGAAGGCCAATACGTGTCTGGTGTAGGCGAAGGAGTCATAGATGAGACTGACAAACCTGTGGCGTTCAGTGGAGTTCTTGACTTGGGCTTCAAATATTCGTCCCCTTCTGACGTTCCTTCGGAAGATTCCATGGCAGAAGCAAGACTCTTTACTATGTCTCTGTCATTCTGAAAATAAAACAATGAGAGTCATTACATTTGTAATTTTTATAATTATGTTGGAACGGTTGCATTTACGTTGACTTTAGATCAAGCAAGTCTAAGGGAATTACATTAGTACTGTTTTAAATTTAATTTTTTCATTACTCAAGTCATTGCGCCAAAACTTATATTGATTTTGTGCCCGTAAAAAATTAAAATAGTAGTTAAAAAAATTCACAAACCTGTGGTACGGAGAAATTCGTAAGCCTCATAAATTTGTCACCAGGTATAGCCAAATATCTGCCGGGATCTCGTGCCATCTTGGAAAAGTCATCTTCCAGTTCCTTGAAACAAGGCCTGCTCTCAGCATCCAACATCCAGCACTTGATCATGATCATGTAAACTTCAATGCTAGCAATCGCCGGTTGAGGTAAACGTTCCCCTTTTTCTAATAATTCAGGTACATCTCTGGCAGGAACGTTGTCGTACGGTCGTCCACCGAAAGTCAACAATTCCCACACAGTAACACCAAATGCCCAAACATCTGACTTATGTGTAAAAATTCTGTGCTGGATGCATTCTAAGGCCAACCATTTGATGGGCATCTTACCACCTGCCGCTTTGTACTCTTCCTCGTTTATATCTAATAGTTTTGCTAAACCGAAATCGGTAATTTTTATACAGGCCGGAGTTTGTACTAAAACGTTTCTAGCTGCCAAGTCTCGGTGTACCAGTCTTTTCTCCTCCAAATAAGCCATTCCCCTGGCTATCTGAGTAGACCAGTTCAGTACAGCTTTAGATCCAATTTTATCACGATTGTTTCTAACGAAATCCAGTAGACAGCCCAGGGGCATTAGTTGAGTTATAAGCATTATTTGGGAGGTCATGCACACAGCCAAGAGTTGAAGTAAATTCGGATGATCAACAGTTGCCATTATATACGCCTCGTCGAGGAAATCTTTGCTGTTGTTGGCTCCTGTGTCTTCTCTCAACACTTTAATTGCTACAGGAATTTTCGCGGAGTTCTCCCCCTCCAGCACCCAAACGCCTTTATACACCGTACCAAACGCACCATAACCTAAGACACTTCCTTTACGTATTTCCGTCTCTTTGATAATTCTTAGTTTGGCGATATTCGGAAGAACGTTACTGGGACGTAGAGGTTCATTGTCTTCCAACCCTGTAAGAGCACGAGTCATCTTCATCGCATTCTCAGTCAGCTTCTCTTTTTTCCGGCAGTAGTAAATAGCCCACACTATTAGTATCACTGTTATTGTAAGGACAGTCAATATAACTATTACAATGGCAAGATCATGGGTGGTTTCAGGTGCTGATAAAAGTAGACTGCTAGGCACGTTTGAACAATATGAGTCCCCATCCTCAGGAAAGACTCTATGTGGGAAGTCTTCTGGACAACTGGCGACGCATCGGAAGGAAGAGTTGTTGTTCATGCTGCCGTTTCCGAAGAGTTTGTAGTTTTGGCATGTAATGCAGTTCTCTGGACCGGGACCCCTACATTCGCGACATTCAAAGTCGCACTTTATGCATTCCTTCGTATTTCCGTCTGGGTAGGAATCCGAGGAACACTCGTCTTCGCACTGTTCTCCTTTCTTGTAGTTCATACATTCTTGGCAGATCAGCACATGGAATCCATAACCGGTGCACCGTTTACATCTGAAACATAGTCAAGATGTTAGAGAATTTAGGTGTACTCATAGAGGCAACAAGAAGTCATACTCGTATATTTAAAAACAGTAGTACGTTATAACAGATTGTTAGAGAAGTGGTGTCATATAAAACGTTTGGAGGATTTTAAGTAGCTTTTAAGTAAACTGTAGATTGAAAGGTATACGCTGAGAAGCGGGTAGTGTTCTCAATTGCACTGAGTGACGTCACAGTGCGTTCTTGATCACATGATAGATTTTAAATTTTTACATAATTTGTAGCATTAAAAAAATCAATCTTTGACCACTCAGAAATCAGATTTTCAGGCAAGTTGACTATTTTGTAGATGAGTGACTGGACGTTACAAACTGTTTAATGGTAAAAAAGGATGCCAAATACAAAGAATTATCTCAGGATTTTTCGGGATTGGACTCCTTAACATCTTGTATTTGCTGACATACTTGATTTACGTACCTTGGATGACATTTTCTGCATATCGCCTTCCCCGAGAGCGATTTTAAGAACGACTCTTCTTGGTGGGGTCCGACGTATTCGAAGTAATAACCATCAGGACAAGATTCGTTCTTATGTAAGCAAACGTCGACAGTGACATTCTCGTTCATGATGGCCAGCTCGCAAGAATTGCACCCTCCTGGTCCGACAGTGTTCTTTGGTCCCGTGCAACCGTCCACACAGGCCGTATGACATTGTGTGCATATGCTGTTCTCTTCATATTTATTCGTTGGGCACTGAGAGACGCAGAACGGACCGTCTTTGAAGTATTTGCACGTGGTGCAATTGTCGGGGCCGGGACCGTGGCAGGATGATCCGCACTGTTCGTGGCAAGGCTTGCACTGGTTATTTTCTGCACGGTAAATCCTGAAATATCAAATATATTTTAATAAATATCCTAAAAAAGTACTTATGCTGGACAAATTTCTTAATTTGTATCCTTTTTAACAAATCTCGTATTAAAGAAATAAGCAAAAATGTTGATTAGTTTGAAAATGAACCGTGTATCTTTAAAGTTAGACAACATTTTATTATATTGGATTGTGATTATTTTTCTAGACCTACCAAGAAAATTAAGCACCATATTTCCAAGAACTGTAAAAACGAACAGCTGATATTTTAAATAAATTCTATAAATCTCCAATAGTTACAATTTTCCTCTTATTAAAATGGGTTTGCCATATACACTTAAAACATATAACTCTTTGAGAAGAAATTGGGCGAAGTGTTACTTATAAAATATTAAGTACCATTTCAAAAAACTAAATACATAAAGGAGACAGATCTATATTTTCTGGACAAAAACAGAAAATCCCTGAAAAATATAACTAATATTGTTGAAAACTACAACTTGAAACTTTTTAAATATGTACAGGGTGTCCTGCAATTCATGCATCACAGATTCTTAAGACAAATTTAGGGGCCTCTTTTTTTATTTTTGCTAAGTGGCCCCTTCTTTCGGAGTTATATCTCAGAATTCTGTTGTACGAGAATCACTAAATTTAGTACAAAGGGTTTTATAACATGTGGAATCTGATGGTGCTACGTGTTTGGCGGGGAACCTCCTTAAGACAATTTTTCGTGGGCCCCCTTCTCTTGGTCGCATATTTAAATTTCTTAAACATTATCAGTCCACTAGAAAGCCATTAAATTTAGAAGCTTTTTGTCTCATTATACTCTTTTCGTAAAACGCAATGTTTTCGAGAAAAATGTCAAAATGTGATCGAATGCATACTATCATGATTCGCCATTTTCCTCAAAAACATTGCGTTTTACGAAACAAATGTCAAGAAACAAAAAAGTATCTAAATTCAATGGCTTTCTAGCTAATTAATAATTAAAAAAAAATCTAATTTGCGACCAAGTTTTTCTGGTTCCAAAGAAAAAAGAGGGCCACGAAAAACTGTCTTAAGGGTGTTTCTCGCCAAAAAGCGAAGCACTTTGAGATTTCACATGTCGTAAAACCCCTGTGAACCAAATTTAGTGATTCTCGTACAACATGGTATTGAGATATAAAAAAGACTTCTTAGGGGCAGATTACAGGGGGCTGTAACTCCGAAAGAGGGAGCCTGTTGGCAAAAAGAAAATATACGGCTCCCCTAAATTTGTCTTAAGAATCTATGACCAAATTTTGTTGCATGAATTTCGGGACACCCTGTATAAGTAGGGGCTTCAATTTTTCCATGCTTTTCTTCAAATTTTAAAATTGGTATTAATATGTACTGACATTAACAATAATAAGTGATTATGTTGATACTAAATTGTAAATATCTAAAACTGTTACTCTCAAAATTAATAACTAATAACTTAATAATAACTCAAAATGCAATATTATATTTTTCAAATAAAACAACGCTTTTGTCATGTCGCGTTTTGAATATGCTAGTGTTATATATCCCCCACCCCCTCATTAAAATAAATAAATAAAACTTCAATATCGAGTCGATTTTTCAAGAAGTTACGAATCTATCCAGCTGTCAATCTGTCATTCTGAACTATCATTAACATTCCGTTCTTTAAAATCTAAAATAATATTTTTACATAAAATTATGTTCAATATCATTGATTGTCCTAATATTCAGTAAATCTACATCAAACATGTAATAACTAACCAATGTCAAGATTCCATAGAAACAGTCACTGCATGTAACCGCAATAAATTATAATTTATTACGCTTACTTATTTGTTACAATGTTTTATAATTTTAATATCACGTATCTTAAGTTTGTTGTGTCATGTAAGTAGTGTGAGTGGTACAGTCAATAAATAAATATATAAATAAATAAACAATTATATTGAAATTGGAATTGGAATTGAATTAGATATTTCATTTGATTTGATATTTGATATTGATATTGATATTGATTTTGATGTCGATGTCGATGTTGATGTTGATGTTGATATTGATAAAATTTAGGTATATTTAATGACGAATATGTTTCTAAATCAGAATCGCCATAGTTGTTGCGTGTTCATTAAATTTATGTATTTAAACATGTCATAACTTACCCTGGTAATACACTGCAATTCTGCAAGCACTGGTTGCCGAGCTTGTAATGGACACACGAGAGACACTGGTCTGCCCCAGGTCCCCAACAACCGTCTCTGCTACACTGCTCATCGCAGAAAAGCTTTCTTTTCGTACAATTTTCTGTGTCACTATTATTGGAGAGCATCAGTTGGTGCTCGTGGCTCTTTCTAATTTTGTCCCAGTTAATCGATTCGGCGAAACAGAGATGTTTATTTTCCAAAATGGCAACAGTACCCATATTGATCTTTTTCAAAGATCTCATCTCAAGAGATTCTAGAGAAGTTTTGACTATATACAAAGAAGTAGAGTACTCGTACAAAGCCCTCCCTCCGATGACTTCCAAATTTCTGAAGAACGACAGATTTTTGAAATCGCTGTTGTAAGCCTGGATGTTGAGGAAACCAGTGATCTCCTTAAGCGTGCTGAAGACTTCCAGCCTGCTTGGATGCATTTTGGGATACCGCTCTCCAAATGAAAAATTCGAGTAGACGTACTGAAATCCTTTAAAAGTGTTTTCTAGTATCTCGATGTTCCCTTCTAGAACTGTGCAACCCTTAAAGCTATCGATGTTTCCGGCATGAATTACTTCCACACCAACACAGGTCTTCGGGCAGGGTCCGTCACATGGAACGCACTCACCGTCCACAGCCCTCTTGTTCGAGGGACACGATCTTACGCAAGCACCATTATCTTTTAGCAAATGTTCGGGACATTTCTTCACGCACGTCGCACCGTACGCGTACTTTCCTTCTGGGTTTACCTCCCACGAGTAAGTTGTCGGGTTATAAATTTGCATAGGGGGACACTCTTGCTTGCATACACCGTCATCGTAGAAATTACGGCAAGCTATACAATCACTTTGCTTCGGTCCGGTGCAACCTCCCGCGCAGAACAGATGGCAACACTCGCGAGGTTTGCTGCCGAAACAGCGACCTTGGAAGCACTGGGGGCTGCAGGTCTCCTTGGAGAACACCTGGCAATTTTCAGGGCCATCGCCCCAACAGCCTTCCTTGCAGAATTTATGACAAGGAGTGCATTCGCGCTCAGGAGAAGTGAAATTGTACACGTAGATGGCGGTGCCCTCGGGATCCGAGATGATTTCCTTCCAGTTGATCGTTTTCACGTGACACAAATTGTAGTTGTTGAAGAGGCCGATGCTGCCCCGAAGTACATCACGAAGCGCGGGTAATTCCAAAGTGTACATCTTTGAGAGCGTTACGATTAGAGCGAATTCCTCATCTCGCACATTCATTTTGAACAACGTCCTACCCCGGATGATCTGGAGACGCGGAAGAACGATCCTTTTTATGTCGACGTGAGAAATCAAAACGTATCCGGTCACTTCCCGAATGTACTGCAGGAAGCCGAGGTCCAAGTTTTCGTCCTGGAGCCAAGTCAGTTCGAGGTTGCCGTCCACATACGTGCAGTTGGTATAGCGGTCTTTCAGGTTCCTGTAATGGTGGTCACGATTCGAGGGCACGGACATACGCCCATTGGTCCCAATGCAGACTGCAACAAAAAACACAAATGAATTTCAAATCTCGTGATAATAGATGCGGTGATCGAAAATTATCATTTATTACTGGTTAACTTGATGAATGGCCGTTGTAGAAACTTTACACGTTGTCAATAAATGAACAAATTCGCACCAGGCAGGTTATATCGATATACTTCATACGCCTGTAACGGTGTTCACCTTAAAGAAAGTAGAAGTTGTTCACATCAATATTTGCATAACATTTCCAATATTGCCAAAAATCACTTCTTTTCTGATGATTAAAAAGATATGCAGTACAATATCAATTTAAAATAAAATACGAGGTAGGTTCATAAGATAACCGAACCTTTTGAATTACGCTGTAATGGAGATATTTAATGATCCGTGGTTAGCAACATTGCATTACACATAACCCCCTATGTAATCACATGTTCTTGGATTATTAGTATTTCATTTAGTTTTCGTGGTATTGTTATTCAAGTGAAAAGTGTTTGAATACTAGTAACGATTTTTCAAATGTGCGATTTTCTGGAGCAACGATACAAAGTGAAACTGAGGAAATCTTTCACGAAAACGTTTCAACTTTTGAAACAAGATTACTGATCTGGGTAGTGTGCAATATTACGAATGGTGTTCATGATTTAAAAGTGGACGTCAGTCAATTGAAGATGATCCTCGACCAGGAAGGTCTTCGACTTCAACTGATGATTCCCAACTTCAGAAATTCACAGATCTGTTGCGTGCAAAACACCGATTGACTGTCAGAGAAATTGTAGAAGAAGTTAGCATCTCAGTTGGGTTATGCCTTCAAATTTTGACTGAAAAATTGAACATGAATCGAGCTGCAGCAAAATTTGTTTCTTATTTGATGATCTAACTCCTTGAACAATCCAATCACAATGAAACATTCATTCAAAGGATCATAACGGCAGACGAAAGTCGAGTTTACGGCTACGACATTGAGACAAAAGTTTCAGTCGTCATAATGGATTGGCAAAAGATCTCCACATCCCAAGAAGGCACTTCTCGATCCAATGCCATTGATGTCCACTGTTTTTTCGACTTTAATGGAATTGTGTGTGGAATGAAATTCACAAAAAGAAACCAGAGTTGTGTCTAGACAATTCGTAGTTCTTGTATCATGGCAATATACCCGAACAGTTAGCTTTGTGAATAGGCATGATGACAGTAACCAAGAATCACTAAAATTATGTATTTATCTTATGGATTATAAAAAAAATATTTCCTTTTATATTATGAGCGAGATTTATGATAGGTTGAACCCCAGTCAGAGCGAAGAACGTCACATCTATGTAAATGTCATTTTCTTTCATTTGTACTTCGACAATATCCGCAGTATTTATCTTCGCTTAATAGTCCAGACGGTACCTATTTCAAAAAGCCATATTTGGGTGAATCGTATATCCACGGAGATTTTTGGCTNCCTGTAACGGTGTTCACGGATTGTTGTTGAAAATTGTTCTCAGCGATATTTGCATAACATTTCCAATATTGCCACTTCATATTTCTTTTCTGGAGATTAAAAAGATATGCAGTACAATATAAATTTAAAATAAAATACGAGGTAGGTTCATAAGATAATCGAACCTTTTGAATTACGCTGTAATGGAGATATTTAATGATACGTGGTTATTAACATTGCATTACACATAACCCCCTCTGTAATCACATATTCTTGGATTATTGGTGCCTCATTTAGTTATCGTGATATTGTTATTTAAGTGCAAAGTGTTTAAGTACTAGTACCGATTTTTGAAACGTGCGATTTTCTGGAACAACGATGCAAAATGAAACTGAGGAAATCTTTCATGAAAACATTTCAACTTTTGAAACAAGCTTACTGCTCTGGATAGTACGCAATATTACGAATGGTCTTCATAATTTAAAAGTGGACGACAGTCAGTTGAAGATGATCCTCGACCAGGAAGACCTTCGACTTCAACTGATGACTCCCAACTTCAGAAAATCAAAGATCTGGTGCATGCAAAACACCGATTGACTGTCAGAGAAACTGCAGAAGAAGTTAGCATCTCAGTTGGATCATGCCTTTAAATTTTGACAAAAAAATTGAACATGAATCGAACAAAATGTGTTTCTCATTTGATGACCTAACAACAGAAACAAAATCGTGTGGACGTTTCTTGGTAACTGCTTGAACAATCCAATGTCAACGAAACATTCATTCAAAGGATAATAACGACAGATGAAAGTTGTGTTTACAACTACGATATTGAGACACAAGTTTCAATCACCACAATGGATTGGAAAAAGTATCTCCACATCCCAAGAAGGCACGTCTGGATCCAATGTCAAAATGATATTCACGGTTTTTTCGACTTTAATGGAATTGTGCATTTTAAATTTTTGCCTCAAGGTGCAACCGTGTGTACTAATCAAGGCGTTTTACAATGGTTACGTGAAAAAATCAGCAAAAAGATACCGGAGTTGTGTCTAGACAACTCGTAGTTCTTGTACCATGGCAATATACTCGCACAGTTAGCTTTGTGAATAGACATGATGATTATGTATTTATTTAATGGATTATAAAAAAAGTATTTCTTTTTATATTATGAGCGAGATTGGTGATAGGTTGAACCCCAATCAGAGCGAATAACGTTACAACTATGTAAATGTCATTTTCTTTTATTTGTACTTCGACAATATCCGCAGTATTTATCTTCGCTTAAATATTTTATTTCCCAACTATCAGTTGCTTAGTATTGTGTTACCAAAACCATAATCAGGAAACGTTAGGTATTTGAAAAGTTTCTAGAAGAAAGAAAGAAAAGAAAGCTCAACAACTGCAAGTTAATAAAATATCAAAAAAACTATGTTTGTGATCAAAAGTTTGTCCATGCATAAATTGGTGCTGAAATACAAAGAACAGTCCTGTGACATAGTTTTGAAAAAACTCGTATTGACTGATGAAGATGACATGAAAGTTAAAGAAGAGACGAGACCAACATCATTTGGTATGAGTTAAGATATAGCAGAGTGACAGCCCCACAAGCGTTTGAATTTAGTCGGTGTAAAACCAATGGTGCAACTTTGACCACGTTAATAATGGGAGGGAAAATCTCCAATCATCGGACATGAAACGCGACACAATGTTGGAGGATGAAGTGAGGAAAACTATAATTACCAGACTGGGGATAAAAATTTAAAAAATGTGGTATAATGCTTTGCAATAATTATCCCATGATAGCAGGATTGCCTGATGGAATATGTGAAGACAGTATTATTGAAATTAAGTGTACCAAGAGTATGAAGACTTTTAAAAATTATGTGGAAAAAGGAGTGCAGACGGCAGCTACAAATGTATTTAACAGGACTTCAAAAGGGCTGTTTCGGTGTAGCTGATTGCAACTACAAGTACAAAGTAGAAATAATTACTGTTACATTTGATGACTACTACTACCAGATTTTCTTAATGTTTTAGTCTCTTTATGGAAAGATAATGTATATCCATTATTATACCAATGTACAATTTTAGGGTAAATAAAATGCATATACTATTATGGTAACTTTGTATTTTTTTTACTAATGACTCATGCAATACAAAATATTAGCACCTTATGATTACTGTTTGACAATTACCAAAAATGTATAAAATTAATAATAAAGTTTAAAAAAAATCGGTGATTTTCTGAACAGAATTCGTTTATTTTATTGATGAATATTCCTATCATCAACTAAGATTTGATTATTCAAGTGAAGAAAACATCTCTCAGTATACCTCAACAGCATGACTTAATGATCCGAATAAAATCTAATTCGAAAACGTAACAATAACTTAGATTATAGAAGAATGCAGGATTTTAATAAACTTCCAGAGAAATACTTAAGAAGCAACGAAGACCACATATTGCGAGGAAGATACATGATGGATATTACAAAGAAAGCAAATTGTAAACATTTTTAGGTTTGTATGAAAGATCACGATAATAACCAAAATTCAACCAGCAAGTAAGTAACAGTTACCACTGGGGAAAGCTTTAAAATATCGACTAATGTATACCACAGCAACACAAAACGTTATGTTAATTAATCTGATGACATTACCCGCTCTAACTAAGGAGTGTGTCTTTCAAAAGAGTGGGCGAACAAGTTGTTACTCTACTACACGTAATCCGTGACGAACGTCAAATATCTGCTACATTCCTGCCCAGGAATAGCCATAACAGCGCTTTGGTTTGTTTAAGGTTTTTCGATTTTTATATGCATCGGCGTTGTGATTATTTGGAAGGGACTGACGTAACCGCAGCTATATGGGGTATAATTCTATAAAATTTATTACTATACGCTGAGGTTTATGTGGCCGTAAATGTAGAGACGGATTTTGTTGGAAACATATACAGAAAATAAACAATGTCTAGCTGTTGTACGTTAAGAAACATTGACCCATATTTATAACGCACTGGTAAAAAATTAAATAACATACTGGGTTACAGATGAAGTAAGCAAGTTCGTAACATTGTTTTGGTTTTGCTTTAAGCGGTTCAGGCTACGTGTGGTCAAAAGGCTCTTCAATTACTGTCAGTGCAATTTGAAATATATTTACCATTTTTCGAAATATAATTGATTACAAATGAATAATTCAGCTATTACAGAGAAAGCTTTGTTTACTAGAATCTTATAGTCTTCTTAATAAATCTTGTACAGGGTGATTCAAAATTCAGTACAAAGAATTTAGGGAGGTATTTTTGAGGTCAAAAATAAGACTTTTTTTTCCACAAACGTGGGTCCACAAATGTTTAGTTTTCGATATAAAGGATAAGTTTTTTATTTTTTAGGAATAATTTCCAAATAAATTTGAATGTTGGCATAAAACTTGGGGGACGGTTTTTTTTTAGGATGCTAAAATCTTTGTATTAAATTTTGAATCACCCTGTATATTCCTATCTATTATTGAAAATTATATCAGATCCCCCTTGCGGTTGATTTTGTATATTTGCATTCTACCTAACAAATTTCTTAGGGCTTGAATTAT